AAAAAAAACATGACTAGAAAGGAGTTATAATGTGCTTATTACATGTAAAGAGGATGCCTATTAGGAGGGTGCTAAACTGAGTCATTTAACATTTATACAATCATTTAATTATAATTCTATTCTTAAAATGAATGGGATATTGAAAATGAAAAAAAAAACACCACTTACAACTTTTGTCAACAATATTACATATTTTTCCAGTTTTTCTTGTAAATCATGATTTCCTGTTTCTGCTTTTCCTGTTGTGATAAACAACACATGGTGATTACAATCTTTATGATGTTCTTGTCTCACTTCCTTTCTAGGTAGTTGCCTAGTTTCTTATCTTGTCCAGATGATCAGATGTCAGTCTGTGGATCAGAAACTACACAAAATAAAATGTGTAGATCTATATGGTTAAATATGCACTCATTATATAGTGCAAAATAAGCATAAGATTAAGCTTAACATGCATGTCGAGTTTGCTGAATTGAAGAATCTGTAGAAAGCCAGCACTGATCCCAGATTATTAAGTAGATAGATACAGCATAACCACATACAAAAAAGTACATACTATACTGTAACAGTATTTTAATTTTTTCAAACACTGCTTGAAGGAGACACTGTGGAGAACAAAAATAATGCATCATATGATTACATCAAACATGAAAACAAAATGCAAACAAACAAATTTTACATTTAAGATAGACATGAAACCGATACTGGAAGAATGAATAATCAAGCTGAAATGATCTAGGGTTGAGATCTAGGATGCATGTACGTCTTGTACATGGGGAGCCCCCTTTATTTTTGCTGGAAGATATCAGGGGTTTCACCGAGGGCTGAGAACTGGGCAAATTAATCGGCTGTGAAAATGATTTTGTCCACCCGATTTGACTATCTAGAGGAAAGTCCTTCTTACAAGGAAAATCTGTTGGTTCTAAGAGTTTTTCCCACCTGTGAAAACCAGTTGCCCCCCTGGTAAAAATGTTAATGAAACCCCTTAGATATAAGGCCCAAAGGATCAAAATCCTGCTGCCCCTTGTTTTTCTATGGAGCAAGAAAAAAATTCACATCCACACCAACACTCTGCTATATCCTTATAGGTAATGAAATGTCTACCTTTATCAACACAGATGGTATGTTGTACGTGTATACTGACACCAATCTGAATTTTATGTACAGAAGCTGATCAATCACATAAAGTTGTTCTATACCATTGCTTGTGATGTTTCTTCAAATTCCTGAAGTCCGTAAATGATTAACTTCCTCAAAACTACAACAAAAGGAAAAGAAACAACTCTAGTTCCAAGTGTTTTACACATCCAATACAAGCAATACACTACTAACATTGACCAAGTAACAATACATAGTGTTAAAAGCATTGACCCCTGAACAAAGAAAATACAATCGTCATTCCCTTGTGTACTGGTGTACACGAGGACGTAACCATAATCTTGGTCAACATTTCAAACTCTGTGTCTGAAGCTGTACACATGCTGTGTAGACATTTTTGACACAGTTCAAGAAATGGAAAGTCTTAATTGCCAAAATGCAGGACTGATGAAGTCACACTCAACCATGATCATCATGTAACAGGTCTTCAGAAGAAGTTGAAAGCTTGTGAAATCCAAAAAATTCAATCTCCACCTTCAAACAGGCAAAGTGCGAGTACCTTTTAGTGTTAATGTGCTGAGCTCCAGTGAAGTCAGAAGTCTCATGTCCTTTAAAATAACAAGCGGATTTTATTTAGCAG